GCCTCTATTAGTTCGTCACTCAAAATATAAATCATTCAATGGGTTTTTTTTTTTTTTATCATCAAAAGAAAATTCTAGTATGTTGACGTACAAGCATTCAATGGCTATTAAAAGCAATAAAAGAAGCAAAGTAAACCACCCTCCTCTGGGGCAGCCCAAAATCTTTAATAACATACAGTTGTGTTGTCTTCTGAAAAGGAGGAAAGATTGTGTGGTTGCATGTAAGTAAGTCACAGTCTTAACATATTTAATCGAGGAAGTTAATTTCGAAAATATTTTCCAAGGGAGTCATTTGGAATGTGAACATAAAATGCATGGTGATACTTTCTTTTGACAGCTCAATTAATCCAGGAAGTCATCCCGTATGCAGAAGAGAAAATTACAAGAACAGCGAATAATTAACGAGACCTGGCCTTAAAGATTGCACTTGTATATATAAAACCTGCTTAATGTTTTGTTAAGAAAAGATTCCTAAGGGAGCAAAATTCATGAAAATGTTTGAAGTGATAATAGGCACTTACATCTATGCCCAAAATTTTCTTGACACCATACATATGGTACAAGCCACATACTATTTCTCTGATGACAGTGTTAAGCCCAGGACACAGACCACCGCACGTCACAATACAGGCATGAACTTCATCTGACTCAAAGTATACCTGATAAAACATCAAAGATATTTTGTTAAAAAAAAAGTACCTCTTCACGTGGGGTTTGATTATCCAATCTCACTCATAAGGCACTAAAAAAAAAAAAAACGTAAAGGTCATACCTTTTGACGGGGTCCACCACGTCGGAAATGTGTCCCTCTTGGACCGTCCTTGTGAACCACAACCTATAAAAAGGAAAAAATTACGTGGAAGCAATTTTCTATATTTTATTTGCCATGCCCCATCTTCTCTGTTATACCTCTAGCTCCTAAAAATGAAGTTGGCAAGGATACTCTGGTAAGCATCTCTAGTACATCTGTAGATGGTAATCAAAATATAACAACCCCTGACATTGAGAGGATGGATTAATACCGATCGAATTCTTGAACAACACCGGTGTTATGAGTGAAAATTAACTATGATTTTCCCAATTCTAAAATGGAACAATTAATTATGATATGTTTTCTATGTCAAAAGAAGATAGGACTCAATGTAATACATAAAATAATTTCAAAAGCACAAATATGAATATTAAAAAATAAAAAAAAAAATAAAAATAAAAAAAGAAGTCAAGACCAATATATGCTGACCTTTTGAGGGACAGTGTCATCCTGATGAACAAAGTACTGCCTGGTGAAACGGAGAAGCAATAATGAACTCCAATTCAATGCTTGAATACATTAAGAATATATATATATATATATAAAAGTTTTTGCACAAGAATACCAAGTACAAACAAAAATCGTAATGTTAGACATGTAAATTTTGCTTACTTGACAACAGAATATGCAGGGTTGTCTTGCAGCGGATTTGGATAAGTCTGCCACAAAAGAAAGTAAAACATAAAATAAATAAGATAAAATCCCTGGATAGGATTCAAACTATTCTACACTTCTAAACCTCCACCACTGTTTCAAAATATAAGTCCTGAATTTTTTTACAAAAAAGTTACATGCAAAAAAGTCATATTAATTATTTTTATCTTATTTTTTCTTTTTCTTTTTTTTGTGAATATATGTGTAAAATGAAGTGAAAATGATTGATTGCAATGGAGGAATAAGCTCATCAGTTAAAGCAGGATTCCCAAGAGAGACACAGGAAAAGTCAATCGCTGCCCTTTACTTTCCCTGGCTTTTTCTCGGGAACCGGACTGAAAAACCAATTATTAAGACCACATAAAACTCATTGGCTAAAATAAAATAAATAAATAAATAAATAAAAACTAAATCACAGAGATACGCGTAAACAATGAGTCAAAAGAAGAGGGCAAGAACGATGTACAGGAAGGTTCTCAATGTAATCTGACAAGTGAGGGACATCTTCGAGCACGTAACCACGGGGGCCGGTGAAGATCTTCGGCGTCGTGTTGGGTGTAGAAGCGGCTGCCATGATGCCTTTTGTAGACCCGATTTTGGAATCCGACAGGGAAAGCCTCCAACTGAAACTCAACTACTAACTGAACTTACGTTTACGAGACTGAGTTTTGATTGTATAAAAGGAAAAACGGGAAAACAACTGGCTCTTCCCCCGCGACGCCTCCAATGATTCTGTCTCCTACGGTTGCGTTGGCTTTTAAACAGGCGGCGGACTGTCGTTCTGCGCGGCTTTAAACGCACGGAATATGGCGCGTGTTCACTGAATCCTTTTTTCTTTTTTTTTTTTGAACAAGGTTTCACTGAATCTTTCAGAAAAGGGCAGTTGGCGGGGGGCCAGGGGGAATTCGCTTTGCTCTCTTATCACCTCCTTTTAAATAAGGAAATGGTATTGGGAGGATCTTTTTATTTTAATTTTTTTTATAATTTTTATAATTGGTGTGTTATTAAATTTTTTTTATAATTTATGTTAAATTTATAATATTAAATATATTTATTTATTTAATAATATTAAAAAATAAAATAAAAAATTTGTATCAATCGCACCACCCTTTAAATAATTGTTACGCCTAACCAGTGTTAACTTAGGAAATGGCCCGGGTCGAACCGTCGAAAAATTGGCCACGCCGGAAAACGGGACAAACCGGAAGAACTACCGAACCAGTTACATTAGACGCTTATGATATATTTCGGGTGGGTTGAGGGTAAAGGAGAGAAAATGTATTAATTAAATTATAATATTTTAAATATTATAATTTAATTAATTTAAAATTTTATTTTTTTATTCCTCTTATATTAAATATATTAGAAAAGAATTAGTTGAGT